ACTTCCTGGCTGGACTGTACTCTCAGTCGATGCCATAGATAAAGCTGCAGCCCAGTGCGTCTCTGTCTCAAGCCAACAAGTCATTGGTAGCCACACCATGCAAATGTCAAGCCCCTGCTGCTCCACGTGAGTTCATGAGGCATGAAGACATTCAAACTTTCATATTGCTGCAGCTGGTTTGGAGGCCTGCAGTACATCTCTGCACTCAAATATTTGTCCCCTGACTGCACACAGTATGTATTTGCATCCATCTCCTTGCTGTATTTCATCTCTCCTGTAGTTCAAGGTCGAATTTAGTTTACCTGTAAACACTCTCCTGGCTGAAGACAACGAAAAAGACGAAAAAGTTAATAAGGTCGGCCAAAATGATTGAATTTCACATAAATATAGCAGCGGAAGAGTTATGAATGTATTTCCTGGTCATAATTATGCAGAAGTGGAACAGCTGGGATTAAACAATATGAGTTTCATCCGTTTTTAGGGGAAATTGAACAAAAGGTTCATTCAACCCTTTGATTAACCCTCAATAATGATTGCAGTTTGATATGCATTTCCAAGATACAGTTACTAATGAGCAAATAAATAAAAAACAATGTTTACTGTTTCCAAGGTCAAGGAATGAACTTAATTTTCATTTATTTATTCATCATTTCACTCTTTGCAAGAAAGATACTTTGGTCTCAGTAAAAAATAAAATCCAAGCAGAAATGCCTTCTCTGTACTAAAACAAACTAAAACTAAAACATTTACCTCCATTTGCCTAGACTTAAGATGCATTTAAATGTTTCATTCCCCCCTGACTGATTTGACTGTGGTCACACTTGAGCGAGTGTCAACAAGAGTCATCTGTGCCCTGTGCTTAAAATCAGGGAGGCTGGACTGTTGGCGCGGCCGTCACAGCTCCATCACAGCCCTCGGAATATGGACACAAAGGCAGGTCTTCCGCAACAGGTGTCCAGAGTGTCCCTTACCTCAGTGCAGCCCAGCAACATGGAGGACAAGCAGACAGAGAGGACAAGCGTCCTTGTTTTCTCCATCTCGGTCTTCAGCGTGTACTTTATGGTTGTCCCCACCTTTCTGTCTGTCCTTTTATACCTGCCAGCTCTCCATAACACTGATGCTGATAACTCTTAGTTGTCAGAGAGAGAGAGAGAGAGAGAGAGAGAGAGAGAGAGAGAGAGAGAGAGAGAGAGAGAGAGAGAGAGAGGAGAAAAACATGCTGTGCTCTGGGTAATTTACAACTTGACCTGCAGCACAGAAGTATAAGAAATGTGATATTTAAATTAGAATTATGGCACGAGGAAAAGGTTTGTGCGTATAAGTCTTACACTGAAATTTAATCAAAAATATTATCATACTGAATGTCTTTTCTAAAGCTTGGGTTATATTTTGGTTTTACTCCACGCCTATTAATTCCCAGTGCCACCCTGGAGATTAAAGCAAGATGATGAAATGTAGGGATCTTGACATCATGGACTGTCCCACATAATAAAGTAGTGCTATATTACGAGATATATTAAGTTACCATGTTTTATCCAAGCTTAACTAGCTGTGCTGTTTATTTTTCAGTAGTTATGGATAACACTAAAAAAAGAGTTAGCGGCTAGCGTTAACAATAAGCTATGTAACAATAATCCATTCCAGCTGGGCTTTTAGTCAAACCACCAGACCGAACTCAGTTCTAAATGTGAGAAGTAGATCATTTAAGTTGACCTGACTTGAATCTGAGGAACACAATAGTACATATATCATTGATCATGAGATTTCACAGTGTATGGAGTATTTCCCTCCATTCCACAATCAAAGAACAACAGGTTAACAGCTCTTCATCGCTTATTGTTTATTGGTGCAGCTACATGTTGTTACTGATCATTTATATCTCCATGTTTGAGCAACTTATAATAATAATATAAATCCTTATTTTTGACAAAGAATGTAGGTTGATGTTTGTACAGCGCATTTTGATGGAAACAGAAACGTATCTGTTTCCTCTTCATATTTAACTTTTCGCTTTCGACCAAGCCCAGGTAGCTGGTTGCATTCCCCTAAAATTAAAATGTTACCACAAAGGTTTCTCCAGGGTTTCTCTGATGACACAGGAATAATCTGCTTACTTTGACTTTTTTTCTTACCCCAATCAACATAATTCGGATTGAAGCACGTTTGATGTCGTTGATCTGTTGGAATTACTGAAGCAAGCCGAACGGAATGTGAAACTGTGATGTTTAGCTTTTGATATCAAGTTTGTGGGGGAAAAAATAATACTTGAGGCCCCTTATGTAGGAACCAACGCAATGATGTGACCGCCTTGCATTTGTGCATGAAATACATTTTGGTGTGGCGCTCAATATCAGCATTACAAAAAGCGGAATGCATTTTGACATAGCGTTGCATACAGTTTCTGCTTAACAGCGTTTTTACTTTTTAAAGACCCAATTTATCTTTCCATAACAGTTAAACTTATCTATTTTTAAGGAAAGGTAAACAGATGGCCCTGCTCATTTTGATTTTATTGGGTTAGAGACAACAGAGATACGGGTGTGACTGAGAGGCTTCAAGTGGTCAGTTACACAATTCTCACCGGGACTCTGTGTGGCATGAAGATTAAGACTGATACAGTTGACCACAACGTTCCTCTGATCACCATCACACAGCCTCCAGGACAGAGAGGGAAACAACACTTGTCCGTGAAACAGGTTGTTCTGGCAGCAGTGCGTATTTAATTTGTGACACTACTATGCTTGTAGGAGTCGCTCAGAATCCCTTTCTGAAGGTCCTTGTGTTTCTCTAATATCTAATATGTAATTGAGTCCTTTTTTATAGCATGAAGTAATGTTTTATTGCCTTGGTAGGTTCATGGAATTCAGCCATGAAGATGAGAGAACGCAGTCAGAAGCAGGAGGGGTCTTGTAAACATTTCATTTGATGCTCATACATCAATCGTGTGCATATAAACTCACAAATTGTAAAACTTTAGAGTGCGTTGCTGCAACAATGAATCAATGGGTGAAGTTTGAAAGAGTGACTTTACGTGAGACACGTGTGTATAATTTAACATAAATATTACCGCTCCTCCCAGCTATCTTGTGCCGTACAAAGAAAGGTCTGTTTAGTGCCAGCAACAGATGCTTGCAAAGTATGGCTTATGGGGAAGGAACCCAATATGTTTTCATCTGGAAATTGTATTTGTTATTTTTTTGAGGTTACATTATGAGGTGAGAAAGGTTGGTAACACAAGCAAAAGTGTTTAATATTATTTCATTTGTGTACTAATTACCGTATTATTACTGTTTAGTATTATTGTAATTATTACTGTTATTATTGTTGATCCAAATAATCAAAGTGGTAAGGAAAAGGAAGTTAAAGATTCCCTCAGACAATAGAGATGTTGTCTTGATGATTAATCTAATGGGAATCGATTTGAACCTGGATGTTTGTTGTTTGTTTCTTTGTTTCTTATAAGCACTTGAGTTTGTTGGGATGCATGATTGTCAAACCAGGCATTAAGTATTTAGAATCGTCTTCTGTAAATCCTCGGGCTGCCGATGAAAAACACAAAAGAAACAAAGAAAGAGTGAAACGAAAGCACCAAACGTTTAGAAAGCCATAAAGTGAAGCTGGAGCCGTGCTGCTTCTGATTGTCTCTTAGACTATCCCTGCTGTTCATTGTCATCACTCATCAGTGTGTTCCTTCAATGCCTGCCTGCAAACCAAAATCTCCCCCGAGGATACTATGACGGCTCGAGCTGAAGATCTGCAGTGAACACACACAGGACCATTAGGAAAATAGTGGCTACACAAATACAAATACAAATCCTCCCAACAATTCATAGTCAAAACAGGGTACAGACGACTCACTGCAGTGACACATGAGCACAGAGCGGGGGAAAGTAAAATTAGCTCTACTTTCAGCTTCACAATCAATTATTTGTGTTTCGTTTTTACTGCTCTTGCCAGTTTCTTTGCACACGGCTTGAATCGATTCATTCTGACCTTGAAGGGAATTGAAAATATCTGCAAATACTGACAGATTTTATCTTCTAGAAATGATGTATTTCAAAACTAAACTTAAACTTTAAGTTTTATCAGATAGTTATTTATTTGCATTTGTTAAGGTTAACAGAGGGCCTTTTAAAGTGTAAGCAACAGCACACCGAAAAAACAAAATATACTTCCTGAAAGGTTCTAGCCCTGACAAAGAGTGCAACCTTTGATCTTAAAGTCAGCAGCATTATTTAACATAATAAGGAAAGCAGGCCAGCCCGGGAATGATAAATGATTTGCCAAATCTCACTGGGCTGGCCGGATTTCAACCACTTACTCACATGACCTTCATTTAACCCAAAAAGCCTATTATTATTGTTGTTGTAAGTTTATTTTTTTAAATAATTGTGTAAAGCGGGACGTATACACTTACTCTATGTGTATCAAATGTGTATTAAATTGATGAATAAATGATTAATTTAATTATTAAATGACCCAACAGTGCTATAAAGTATTTAAAATTGGCTCCACCTCAAGGAGCTACATTAAAAATGCTGCTTAAACATTGACGCATCAGTAACATGCATCCAATAATAAATAGATCCATACTGATAATAGGCGTTGTCATGCAATTTCACTTAAAATGTGGATTGGAGGACTTCAACGTGAGTATTTTGACACCGCCGTAGAGCTACTTATGCTGCTGTAAAGGATCTGAATACATGTCAAAACGTTCAAGATGATTGTGTGGTAGTAAAGTTGGTGTTTACATTTTCCTCAAGACCTACAATGTCTCCATCTAGTGGCACGAGATGTGTCCGGCTGTGACCGGAAGTCACGCATGAAAACAACAACGTGCAGCGCTCTCTGCAAGAAATGAGTGGGAAGGTCTCATTATGTCGTATTCAAATGAATAAATAAGCAAGCGTTGTTTTATTTTTTTTGCAGTGCAAGGTGGAGGTATTTGGACGGCGCTTAGCCGAAGGACCTTGTTTTTGGTAAGCGCTTTTCTGTACTCGCCCCCAGCTAGTTAGCTAGCTAGCAGCTAACTAGCTAGCCTCGATTAACGTTATCGGCTACCTTGTTTAGCTACCAAGATTAGCTTTTGGCTGTTAGCAAACACGCGATATTTCTTTAGTATTTAGAGTGCGTTTATGAATAGGCTATGTGGAGTTTGTTATAAATAACTGTTTACGCATAGGAGATAGAGTAAGTTAGAGCGGCGTTACATCGCCAGGACGTCACGCAAATGGTTTATTTTGAAACTCGTTCAAATATTCAAAATCTGTAGTCTCACGTGACCATTTTGCACTTTCCCTCGACATCTTTTACCCAGATATTTGCGTTGGGATGGCAGCCTCGTTACCCCAGAAGGCGGGTGGGATGGCAGGGATGCCCCCTCAGCAGCAGCCCCACCCGCCCCCCGGTGCTGCCTCGGCCGCAGGTCAGCAGCCCCCCCAGGGAGCCCTGAGAGAGATCTCCCCGGTGTTCCTCTGTCGGATTGGACAGGAGACTGTCCAGGACATTGTCACGCGCACTATGGAGATCTTTCAGATCACAAGAGCCACACAGGTACTGGACACGCGACTGATAGCTGGCTAGAAATAATGATTTCAATTAACAGATAATTTTTTTTTTTCTGAATAACACATTTGTTTGTTTGTTTGTTTTAAATGCAGGAATCTGGAACTGGTTTAATGCTAAAATCGGATGCTCACATTTGAGTTATGGATCCTACAAATGTGCATTTAATAAATAGTTAAAGTTGCTGTAGATTGATTAAACAGTCAGCACTAGTTTTTCCCACCTATCTACTGAGCGGGTCAGAATATTAGCATTCAGTCATCAAATCATAATTTTAAGTTTCCCTTTACAAAATAAAGTATAATCATTTATTCTCTAAGACATCTTGCAATAGCTACTGTTAGAAAACTTCAGTATATAGTATACTGTGTGTAAAGCTTAATTAAGTACTACCATCTTGTCCTTACTGCCTCTTGTCAGCTGTGTGTGGATGCTGTTTTTCTAGCTGACAGGGTTCCTCTGTTGCCTGTCAGTCTCCATTTGTCCCATCCTCCTCTCTGGCGTATCTGCTTGGCATGCTTGTCAGCATCTGTCTTATTCATCCTTCCATCTCCACCTGATCTGTGTCTCTAATTATCTCTCTCAGTGTGTCACTCACCTCCTCCAGCTTGTCCTTGTCCATTAAACTGAGCAGAAGTTTTTTTTTTTTTTTTTCTTTTCGCCCGCACTGAAAACTCTTGTTTGCTGTCTGAACTGAAAATGTCCACGACCGTTTAACTGACGAGAAACGCTGTGTGTGTCTTTTGACGTAGCTTCCCAATGGTGTGACCCAGAGCCAGGCGATGTACCAGGACCGCTTTGGGAAGCTCCAGGAACACCTACGGCAGCTCGCCCTGCTGTTCAGAAAGCTCCGGCTCCTGTATGAACGCTGTGTGGAGATGACCTCTGACCTGCAGGAGGAGTCGTCAGAGGTCAGCAGGGAGCATTTGATTTCCGCTTAGATATCAGTTTAACGGTTTCTTTTCAAATATTCAGCTTTTTTTTTTTTTTTTTTTTAGGAAATATTGCTCGAAACGACGCTGAAAGTGATGTCATCTTTCCGTCCTTTGATTAGGGCTTGATTAAATGCATTTGCAGAACAGTCGGTGTATCCTATGCCACTTGTTACACTTTTCTTTCATGCATTCATAGACGGAGGGGTAACAACCTGTCTGTGTGTGTTGTGCCTCCTCAGCTTCTGCCATATGTTGGAGAGGAGCTGGTTACTGTCAAAGTGGAGCCCTGCAGTTCTGCTGTCAACCAGGAGAGAAGAGAGGTTCTAGAGGTGTGTTCCTGGTTTCCTTCTTTGTCACAAGTATTACTTACCAACAATTACCACGGTGCTATTATCACATTGCAATACAATTAGTTGTAATATATAAAATACATGCTAAGCAATTACAGATTGGTGGCATGTGCCTCGTATTGCCAGATATTGAAGTGAGACGTGGTCTTGGAAAATACAAAGATAATCCAAGTCCAACACTGCTGCAGCGAGCGAGCAAGACAACATATTTAGCTGTTGAAGTCCCCTTCAAATGCCTCTAGATGGCAGTGGTGAGACAGGCCGAGGGTGTGGGTGAAATGCAGAAACCTTGCGTCAGGTGCGGCATTAGTGAATTAAAAACCAGGATGTTTTTGTGAACATTAGAGCCGATATTCCAGCGGGGTGAAGATTTCAGGCAGGTTTGGAAATTGCAGAATAGTGGAAAAGTTTGCCTGAGGCCTGGCAAACTTGTTTGCTTTATCAACAACTCAGTTAGAGGCGAAGCAGTTAAAAGTATCTATTTTTACTTCACAAAATCCTCCAGCAGGAATAATCGTGAATGAGCCTCAACTATTAACAGTGTTTATAGAGAGTAAACAAGGTGGTGTGCTGATTGCGGATGATTGTTATTGTGAAAGAGAGAGAGAGAGGGAGAGAGGAGATTTACTGATGGGTGCCATGTGTCTCTCTGGTTCTCCTGCAGAAGGTACGACAGAAGAACCAAGAGATGAAGGTCCTGATGGATCAGATGAGGAACCTGCTGTGGGACGTCAACGCCATGCTGACGCACAGGAAATGATAGTCCCACCAGATCCACTCTCTTTTTTAGAGAGCTGTTCCTCCGCAGACGTATGGACTGCATGAAGGCAAAGACAAGTTGAAATGAGGGGATTTTCTCTGTGATTTGGACCACGGGACCTTTCACTTCATCGCTGAAACTCACTCACAGGTCACAGAACTTCGGCCATTTATTATTTTTTATATTGGACTTGTCGGTGGGGAAACTATTATTAAGATGGGATAATGATTTATGAGCGCTAAAAAAGGGGGCAACCTGATCCACTTCAACTCCAAGTATCGTCCTCTTTCTGTACAAGGCAGCTGACAACCCAGTTTATGTTCGACAAGTGCTCCACAACTGTTATTGTGTCACTGCGTTTATTCTAATAACTCATGGACTCTTGAAATAATGAGTTGAAACCTGTATTGCCTCAGGTGAAAATGTTTTTGTACACCGTATTCATGGTGTTTTCTCCCCCGGGTGCCAACTCAACACCGGACAGACTTGAATTGGCAGCAGGTCGTTCTTCCAGAAAGCACAGGCGCTGCTCTGACGACGACTGTGTTGGCCAATTGGCCTTATTGTGTTCTGTCAGTTGTAAAGAATTCAAGTTAGCCCATTGGCAGCTATGTATCTCAGGTGTGTGTGTGTGTGTGTGTGTGTGCGTGTGCGTGTGCGCGTGCGCGTGCGTGTGCGTGCGCGTGCGCTCTTAATGAGATTAGCTTCCTGAGTGCTAGACAGCACACCTGTTTACCCTGAGGGGGGTGAGACTTGCTTGCCTGTGAATATATTTTTGTAAACTGTGGGACTAAATGAGTCATTTCCTTTTTTTTTTGTATGAAATAAACCTTTTTTTTTTTTTTTACAGTCCTGCTTTTAGATACAATAGCTCTGACTTTGCGGTCATTGTTTCAATTCCAACCCCGAGGGTTGATGTGGGAATGCATGATTGAGATTGTATTGTATCCAACGTGTCCAACAATACGTAATTATACACACTTTATTCTTTTGTGTTCATCTGTCTTTACACACCCCAGCAGCTCATCAGTGTAGCGCTCCGACACACCGAGGCATCAAAGACCACGAGAACCCCAGCGTCACAAAACACAGGGGACACGTTATGGAGCAGCATTTTGGTTGCTTTAATTATGTTGTAGAGTAATTTTACTGCCAATACAATCCGCCCGAAGGATTTCTCCATCAAACTGATTACTAGGACAAAAGAATCCCAGGATCTCGACCGCGTGAGGCCCGGCATCCATCGGACAGGACAATGTGCAGGTCTCAGTTTATATGAACTGGGCTCATGATCATTTATTAATGAGCTGTGGAAATATTAAGTAGTAGTACGCTTAGCTGAGAGCAAAAGTCGAGCCATTAGTCAACACAAATATTCATTTGTAAAGATTTTTATAACTGATATCAGAATATTGTTTAAAAGCACTTGTTCCTGCTTCTCAGATGAGACCACTGCTGTGGTTTGACGGGTTCCTCGGTATTTATGGACGCTTTTGCAATTTGTCACTAAATCAACGTGTGCCAGATGGTCTCATCCTACATGTGATGCTGATCTGTTCAACTACTTTAGTCTTAAAATGCACCATGAGGCATTCTGGGTTCTTCATTCTCAGCATATTTGTCTTTAAATAGCGTATGTGTAGTAAGAGGAGAAAAAAAAACTTAATGCAGCATCATGCCAGAGTTTTCATTTATAAATCTTTTTATTGGTTTTACAGTTAGCTTTTTGATGTGAAATGATACGTTACCATGGCAACAGTCCCTGCACAGTAACGCTGAAGGAGTGCATGGCACCAATACCAGTCCCTCCTGGCAACAGATTGCCATTTCCTTCTCATTGTCACAGCAATAGCAGACATCCCGAGTGTTCACACATTTTTCTCTTTTTTTTTTTTTTCGCTGTCCAATAGAGATTGTCCTTTCTCAGTGAGAGGCCCCTGAATCTTCTCCTTGTCTTCCCAGGCTCGTGGTGGGAGGGGGGGGGGATCATTATCATTAGAAGTTCCTTTCAAACTTGTAACGGCCCCTTTTCGCTTCATATTTATATGTATATTGTCCAGAACAGTCCACCAGGGTCTGTCTGATGATTGTACTTAGTCCACATCCCAGACAGTCTTCAGTGTTCCATCTTGGCCACCCTCCACTGATTGGTCCATTAAGGCCATTAGACCAGAACCTCGATGCTTCCCAGCCGCTCTGTCCATTTCCGTCCTTCGTTTTTATGCTCTCTCCAGGTCTTTGTACTTCTTGCGGAGGACAGACACTTGGTCTTTGAAGAGCACGGGGTCCAGGCGAAACTGAGAGTGGACCAGGGGCATGTAGCCAAACCAGTTAGCGAAGGTGTTGACGCACTCTTGCCGCTGGTTGAAGTGCTCCGGGTTGGCCCAAGGGACACTCTTTGTACCCTGAGAGGTGGAACAAGACACAAGTCATTTATCAACCAGCGCCGACCTGACATTTCAGTCAGCAGCGTCCACAGACTAATAAACACAAGCGGCCGCCTACCTGTGGACTGGGCAACTCCTTGTACTGCTTCCTTTGAGCCACTTTGATTGGCGGCAGGCGGGTCACAGCAGAGACCAGGAAGTTCATAAGGATGTCCTCGCAGTTGGAGGTGCGATCCACCAGAGTGCGCAGGGACTGGGGAAGGTAGTGGGTGAACAGGTAGTGGTAGTACCTGTGGGGATGGGGAAAGGGTTACACAGGCATTAATAATGTTATTGAAATATAAAAAGAAGTTGGGGAGAACAAAAAGAGTACACAAGCTAAATTATGGGTCACTTTGTAAAGCCTCTGTACACCCACACAGGTGTTTATTATTCTGGCTAATTAGACCTCTGCTCAGGCTGAAGGTGAGCTGGAGCGCTGATGGGAGTTTATGAGGTCACAAATCTTCATCCACCAATGAGAAGGATAAAGGTGCAACTTGTCCCGCCCCTACAGGTTCAAGGGTAGCGAACAGAAGAGAAGAGGGCTAATCAGCCAGGTAACTGAAAACACCTGTGTGGTCTCTTCTCAACTGTTTGTGATCTACTTCTGTTGGTTTTGCTGCAGACATTCACCACCTGAGCTACTTTTCTGGTTGACAACAAGAGAAGAATACCAACAGATAAAAGGGAAAAGGAAGTACTGGCACTGCTGGCTGTTCTTATGCGTCCCGTAATATTATTAACTTAAGTTAAGACTCCATGATTTCTACAGTGGGCGATCTAAAATCAATACGCATGTCCTCAGTTTTTGTCATATTTGGTTTTAAAAAGGCATCAATTAAAAAAATAAATATATATATATATCTATATATATATATATATATATATAGATATATA